CACAGGGGTATTTTAGGAGACATTATATACGGGAGTCTCTGTGGTTGAATTGGGAGAAGATAAAAAAACAGTGTTATTTGAAAATTCCAGTTTGGTTATCGACGATAGAAGCGTTCTCTTATCCTATAATTTATAAAAAGGAACAAACAGTTAACTATGGGGATTTATTAGATGAAAAGGGTGAACTTAAATCGATGCAAAAACTGGAAGAACAAGGTATACAGATGAATTGGTTTTCATACTTGCAAATACATTCAAAGTACTATGAGGATTCCAAAGCAGAGGGATTTTATGATAAGCAAACTGACTTGGATAAGATTTTGATGGGTACTGATGAAAAGGTGATTAAAAAATTGTATGGTTATTTATTGCAAATTAAGCTTGAGGAAGAACAAGTTAAAGAAACTATGATTGCGTGGGGGAGGAATTTTGGATATGGGATTGATTTAGAGAAATGGCAGAAATTATGGTCGCAAAATTATAAAATGACAATGTCTACAGCCTATAAAGAAAACTTGTATAAGATGTTTTACAGGTGGCATTTTCCCCCGACAAGGATAGCAAGAATGTTCAAGAATAAATCCGAAAAATGCTGGAAGTGTCATCAGAAACCTGGTTCATACTATCACATGTGGTGGACTTGTGAGGATGCTAGAAAATATTGGACTAAAATCCACATGTGGCTGGAAAAAATGACGAAGAAGCATATAGACTTGAAACCGGAGTTTTTTCTATTGGGAATCCTACCAGATACTTATAGTAAAGAGTTGAAATATTTGATCGTAAATGTATTGACTGCTGCTAGGATTGTATTTGCAAAAAATTGGAAAAGTGAAAAAATTCCATTGCAAGAAGAAGTGGTAAAGAAAATTTTGGAATGTGCTGAGATGAGTAGATTGACTTTTGAAATTAGAGAGCAAGAAGATAAACAATTTTATTTAGTTTGGGATCTTTTCTATCAATGGTTGAATGATGAAATATTAAAATATAAAAGTTAGATAATAAGGAATAATAATGTCTTTATTTTCTCTTTCTTTTTATTGGTTTTTGATACTATATCTATATAATAGTTTTCTTTGTTTCTTTTTTTTTCATATTTGGGATAGAATTGGTATGATTATAAGATTTGTTTTAGAATAGGGTACTTAAAATATAGTTATCTCACAAAGGCATGATCGAATAAAAGTTTAGTCAAATTTTTCTTTTTTTTTTTTAATGGCGATACTAGGATTTATAAATTTGTATTGATAAGAGTGTTATGTGAAGTGACTGTAATTGTGACTATGAGGTGAATGCACAAAACCGATGGACCAACCGACTTACTGTGTGTACAAAAATATGGGGGAGCTGATACTTTTATGTTTTGTTGTTGTGTTTTTCATGTCAAAAAAAAACAATAAAAATTTATATTAAAAAAAAAAAAAGTTGTTAACCTAATCCTACGTAGCTTTTTCTCTGGTAATATCACACTACTAACTAGAGCATACAAAACATTTGCTAGACCAATACTTGAATACAGCTCATCAGTCTGGAACCCTCATTATGTATGTGATATTAATACAGTTGAGAAAGTCCAGAAGTATTTCACAAGAAGAATTCTCCACTCCTCTATTCGTTGCAGAATACCACCGGACTTGAAATTCTAGATCTAGAAACCTAGAACTGCACCACCTTCGGTCCGATCGATTTTATAGCATATAAAATTATATATTGCAATGTCCTGCCTGTCAATGAATACTTCAGCTTCAACCATAACAATACAAGAGCACACAATAGATACAAACTCAAGGTTAACCACACCAAACTTGATTTCAGGAAATACGACTTCAGCAACAGAGTGGTCAATGTCTGGAATACTCTACCTGACTCTGTGGTTTCTTCCCCAAACCTCAAAAACTTTAACCTTAGATGGTCTACTATTAACCTCACCCCTTTCCTAAGAGGTCTTAGGGGGTGTGCATAAGCACACCAACCTGCCTACCATCCCTGTCCTATTGTTCCTTTTATTTTTCTTATATGTATCCATGTATTCATAACTATGTTTATACTTATACCTGTTACCTTATAATCGCTTGACAAAATAAATAAATAAATAGTTCTCTATTAATGATTTCTTGAGAAGGAGGAATATACTTACGTATGAGTGTAGGATAAAGTTCCTATTGCTACATCTAGCCGAAGGAGTAAACTGTCTGGGAAAATTGTATTTTAGCATTGCTAAGTCTGTGTGCATTTCTATTTTTATTTTGTTATCAGATATTCCAAGGTGCTTCCAAAAATAAGGAGAGCATTTCCAAATGCCTATTCAGCCTTCTTCAAAGTACAGTAGTGTCTTCCAAATGGCTAATGATTAGAGTTGCAGTCAAGCATTTCTGGGTGGTATGAAGAAACTTGTCTTACATGACTCCTACATCTGTTCTATGCAGCCCTTTATTGAGATCACCTATGTGATGCAGTCCTACTTTGGGGTGGAGGTTGAGGAGAGGAAAAATAGTAAAATACAGGTTCATCCGTGCCTGATGTTGGCAATCAGATTTGAAGCTAATGTAATGTTTTGCTTTAGTAAGGAAAAAAACAGACTAACTTCCTCAGCCATATATTATATATGTGCCTTTCCTGTTAACAACAATATTGGTTAGTTTTAAGTATAATGGCAGTGGCACCAGTTGTCTTCAGGTCATGGAAAAAGATGCATGTTTTATTTGTGTTAAAATCAGCATTTGAAAGTTAGTGCTCTAACTTTCTACTGTGATATCTGGGTTGTGGCATTCAGCTGGTTATATTATGGATCAATACAGTTGGCAGCCTCTTTATGGCCATTTAACATGTTTGAGAAGGTTGAGAGCCACAATATCAGTGGAGCAATATCCCTGATACTCCTGATCAGGCTTTGGTTTTATAAGGGTCCTAAGGATTCTTATGTTTCTTTTAACTGTGACCTGCCTATTTCTAGCTTTATGTGAGTTTTAATTACTTGAAATGCCTTACTTGAAATGGCATGAAAATATATCATCATTGTTCATCAGTTATGGTCACAGGAAACCTCTGAGAGCAATGGGTTTAACTCTTCCAAGAAAAATACTTGTAGAATTAATTGCTTCCATCAAGCATTTGGGAAAGTGACCCGATTACTTTTATAACATGGCCTTAGGCAGCTCTAATTTTACATACATTGGCAGCCATTTAAGACATATTTCTGTGTCTAGAGTGTAGACCCTATTGCTATATATAAACTTTTAAGAAGTTTTCTCACTATAATATCGTGCCCTGTTCATAAAGTTGTCCTGGCAAGTTTTAGCCTGGGAAGTTTTGCTACTAAATTTGGCTGAAACGGTGAATTTTTAAAATGTGAGTCTTCTGATATAAATCTTGCCTTTTACAGTATTGCGTGTTGTGACTGTTGATTGTCTTAGAAAATGCTGTGTAGTAAAGTGCATTAGAGTATCTGCAGTATTTGAAATTGTAACAATTTAGATTTGAGAAGAAAAAATACAGGTGAGGTCCTGGAATCTTGATAGTGCTGTTATTTGTTTTCTTGCATACTCTTTTTGCAAAGATTCCTCGTCTGCCACAAGTTAATTAGTGAATCGCCATGAGTCCAGTAGATGTGAACACAGGAATCTGCCTTTCTTTGTTGAATTAGGTCATCTGGTATGTCCTGACATTTATTCTGTAGTGTAAGATAGGCAACAAATGCTTTCCAAGTGTTCTAGCCTCCAACAGGGTGACCAATAGAGGAGTTGAAGCTGAAGTTTAAAACATCTGAAGGGCCCTCATTACGTTTCTAGATCAGATATTGTTTTACCTCTCTGGTTTCATCTCACATCCAGCTTGAGCAGAATTCAGACAAAGATCTCTACTTCTCTCTAAATTCAATTAACACTTGCTATAGATTTTTAAAAGGTAGCAATATTTCTACTTATTTATTATTTCAGTTTATGTAGCTCTCCATCTCAAATATGTGACTCTGGGTGGCTCACAATATTGGTGTGGTGAAAAATGCTCTTGCCCAAGATATTTCAATACAGGTAGTCTTACAACCACAATTGAATCCAAGATTTCTGTTGTAAGAAATTAAGTAAGACATTTGTTAAGTGAGTTTTGCCCCATTTTATGACATTTCTTGTCACGGTTTTTAAGTGAATTTCTGCAATTGTTAAGGTAGTAAATGAGTTGTTAAGTGAATCTGGCTTCCCCATTGACCTTATCAGACGGTCAAAACAGGCAATCACAGGACCCTAGGACACTGCAACCATTATAAATATGAACTAGTTGCCAAGCATCTGAATTTTGATCGCTGCAAAAGTTGCAACTGTGAAAAACGATTCTAAGTCCCTTTTTTCAGTGCCGTTGAAACTTTGAACAGTCCCTAAAGGAACTGTTATAAGTCAAAGACTACCTGTATATCATTGTGGATGGTGTCATGGTAGACCTTTTTACCTCGTTTCTTCTCTTTTTGTCTCATGAGCTGCCTATGCTGATGAATCCGGAAGAAAACACACAACAATTTGACATACATTTTCACACATACTGTAGAACATGCCCATAAATATTTTCTCGTTCCAGTTCATACTGAAAGGGAGGAAAATTAAAGCTATCCATCCCTTCTCTTACTAAGATTGAAAAAAAAAATCTGTTCATTGCAAAGTGTAGCAAGCATGGATTTGCACAATATAGAAATTGGAGAGATTGCCTAAAGGCCTTAGAGAAATTGAGCCTTTCCTGTTTCTGCATGAGGAGGCATTGTTTCCACAAGGACTCTAAACATGAAATCTTTCAAGAAATTAAAAAACAGCAGATGCAGCATCAGTCACTTAGAAAGTCTGTCTGATGAAGTTTGTATTTCTGAAAAGCTCTACCAAAGGCCAGGTGGCTAAGGTTATATTTGTTTGTCTACAACACTGATTTATTTTTAATGTAAAAAAATCATTTATTAATTTGTGGCAATGTTAACTGTGTCTCTCACATCTCCCCCCCCCCCTTATTTTCTTGTTTTAAAGATGCAAATGTTGGACAAATTTCCAATGGAAGGAGGACAGAAGGACCCTAAACAAAGGATAATTCCCTTTTTGCCAGGTTTGTAGGGTGAATGTATAGTTCTCAAATGAAATACTTTTATATATTCCATCTGTTTGTCTGTCTGTCATCTATTTACTTATCCATCCCTCCATCTTCTCTCTCATTCTGTTTGTCAATCAATCCATTGTAGATCAATGTAGCTCTTTATTTCTCCACTTTTCAGTAATTAGAGAACAGAATTGGAAGGAACCTTGGAGGTCATCTGGTCCAACCCTCTGCTCATGTAGGAGACCTATACTATTTCTGACAAGTGGCTGTCCAGTCTCTTCTTAAAAGCCTCCAGTGATGGGGCACCCACAACTTCAGAAGGCGATTTGTTCCACTCATTGAATGTTCTCAATGTTAGGAATTTTTCTCATTTCAGATATATTGATTTCTGACTTCTCCATCAGATTTGGCCAAATAGTTATGTCAACTAAGAATGACAGGGTTTTATGTCAACGCATTTAGACATTTGAATGGAGATTTGCGATTAGACTGGCTATTTCCAACATGGGGAAATAGCCAATCTATATGTTCCTATGATCAGCTGCAGGGCTTTTCACTGCTTCGGTCTTATTTGATCCTACTTATTTATGTTGATTTTAGTATGGTTCTGGCCTGAATTTCACAGAGAAATGACATTAGACAACCTGGGAAACGATTCATGCTGAGAATGTATCATAGAATTTAGTTAGAAGATTCTTAGATATTTGGCCGTAGGATGAAATCGGTATGTGGATGATACATAGCTCCATTTTTCCTATCTGAACAGACAGTTTTACAATGGATGAGAGAAAACAAACTGTTCAGAGAAGGGGTTCTGGATGCTAAATCCTATGCAGAGGGATTGAAGGAAATTGGAACATTTACCATTGAGGAGAGATTGAGACTGAGGGTATTCCTAAATATTTTAAAGAATGTCACAGTGTGACATTCTTTAAAATATCTTTAAAGAAATGGGAGACCTATTTTCTTTTATTTGAGAGTGTGCGTCGTGGCATGATAGATTTAAATACCAAATGGCAGACACTGATTTACTGTTAGCTAAACCTTCTAGTAGTAAGACTAATGTCTCCTTGGAACCAATGTTGACTTGTCTCATGTTTAACAAATCAACTGTGGACAAGTCTTTATTTGGTTAGGTTAACTTGGATTTCTGCACTGAACAGGGAAATGGATCACATGGCCTGTATGTCACATTCTAATCCTATCCTATTTAGGGATACAAATATAGTTGTTCTGAACTATTGACTCTTTTGATTTGGATTGATGGAAGTTGTATATTTGGAGGAATCAAGGCTGGAAGGGTGGCTTTAAAATTTGGACTATGTTAGGCAACTGAGTACCCCAATTTTCAGATCGATATTCCTCCCCACCTCTCTCCATTGCTGCAGTATAGTATCACAGATTTCCAAATAGCCTTATGCTATTTGAATGTGTAAATTTTGGCTGTGTAAATATTCCCATGGAAACATTCCATTATGCAACGGTGCTCTTCCTCAGATATGGGCAGAATTGCAACTTAGTAACCATCATGGATATTTCCAGGAGTTGCCTTCGGATTCCAGCTGTTCCTTGGATTGTGGTAGCAGCAAAGCAAGACTCACTCTGGCATGAGTGCAGAGAAAAAGAGCATGTTGTGCGGTTTTCCATGCCAACAGAATGAAATAGGAGAGATATAACATCAGACCCAGCTTGCCAGCCTCTCCAATTTGAACAAACAGAAATTACAGTTTGAGTATATTCTGTTTCTGAAGCATTGTAATCTATTTTTGGGTAGCCAAGGGAATTTTGTTTCCAAAAAGTTACAGCAATGGTACATTTTGCTTGCTTGGTGCCTTCTTTCCTTTTGGGAAGCTTGGAAATTTTCCTTTCCGTGGACTTATTTTACAATGGAAAACAGAAGGATGGTGATATACTCCCAATGTGGGTTCCCAACAGAATTTGGGGAATTCTACAAGAATAACCACAAATGAAGAATTCAATATATAATATACAAATCTCTGACTCCATAAAATCCTAGCAGTGGAATGGACAGCCCCTTCCTTCATTTAAAGTTAAGTTTGAATCAAATTGCTTATATAAGTGTTTCTTCACCTTAGCAACTTTAAGATATATGGATTTCAATTCCCAGAATCCCCCAGACAGCACGCTATCTGGGAGCTGAAGTACACACATCTTAAAGTTGCTAAGATGGACAAATACTCTTAGGAATCTTTGCCTGATTTTCAACCAGAACCTGTTGAATTCCCTCTGCCTTAAATGTTAGACTTGAAGAAGTGTTACCAGCTTCTCGGGCTCAGGCTTGTTTTGTACCTCTGGGAGATCTTTCTTGGCCAAGCAAAGCTTTTATAGGCTGAGATTTATAAATGGTTGGAAATAATCAGACATTCTGTGTTTGGCACTTTCGCAAGGTCAGAATGAGGTAGGTCTGCAGTTCCTTGAATCTTCCCTTGTTCATCCACTGGAACAAGTTCTTTTATTTCAAACCCCAAATGACTGAGAAACTCAAGACAGGAACCAGAGTTTTCTGTATCAGCTGTCACTTTTGACTCTTTCTAAAGAAAATGTGAAGGAAGAGGGAATAGCTTTTGTGATTGAGTGTGTAGATGTGCTCCGGAAAGATAAAGTGTTGATTTTACAATAGAGAGCCCAGGCTTGTTTGCATTCCAACTTTTTCCAGTTATCACCTTTCTTATATTCTTCCTTTTTGTACAATTTTTCTTTTAATACCGTAATACCATACCAACCCGTAAATTTCACTACCAGTGTGGGAATTTGGCTCTTGCATTATAATTCAAACATGCTGCTTTCTGGGAAGCCCTCCTTGGTAATATTATACATTGTGGTTCCTGACGTCTGAAAAATGTTTCCAGTTATCCTGTCTACCCAGCTGCCTCTAGCTTTTTCTTTCTTTTTTCTTTTTGCAAACCTCTAACAGATGTAGATGTGAAACCTTTGATAGGAAACAAAATAGTCGATCAGAAGCTTTGAGTATTTTTTATCTAAAGAAGGTATTTTTAATACCATAAATATTTAAAATTACATTTTAAAGGATAGGCTGCAATGGTTTTGCTATGATTACTTCACATTATTATTTGAATGTGAAAGAAATATAAGGGACTGGATAGAAATTTGGAAATGTACAAAAATGAACACAAGATAACTGAGCTTGCAAAGTTAACTACAGGGAAGAAAATCATGCTTAACTTTAGTTTTTTTTAAATTAAAAAAATATCTCTGTCACTTGATTGCCAATCTATGGTTTATTACAGAAAAACTATTTCTAAGTTTTCAGGATTGTTCCTTACTTCTTCTCATGTTTATCTTATTACATTCTTGGTACTTGCATCATAGATTCTGTATTTATTAAATCGTGTTAGCTATTATATTTAATAGCTAACACGATTTAATAAATACAGAATCTATGATGCAAGTACCATGATATATACTGTATATAGGGTACCTGTAATTTAATTTCAATTGCATAAGAGTGTATGATAAATGAGAAGACATTAAGCATCAGTCACCTGTAACAGCTGATTGCATTTTCATTAAGACAGGTTATAATACTCCAGATTATAATTCTATACCTCAGATAATAAAACTGAGATTTAAACAGAATCCATAATTGGTCTTCTGCAGAGATTACTCTTTTTTTAAATACTGGATCACTTTATAATATCGTGGAACCAAAAGGCGACTGAACATGGATCATGCTTTTATGGCTTCTCTTGACCCGTCACTCCCAATATTCCCCATGGTTTACAGAGGAGCTATGGGTTATAAAAAGAGCTAAGAGAGGGCTAAAGAGCTTCTGGAAGAAAACAAGGATTAGTCTGACAAGACATAACTTAGATCTGCTATTAAGGCATGCCTCGTGGCACTAAAGTGTAGCGAAGCACCATTACATCTCTACCCTTATTGCATCGATAGGATGTCACCTGGTGGCCCTTTTCAAAGAATTTTGGCCAGCGGGATGTAGGAAAAGAGCTGTGGCTCCTGCACTTTAGAATATCATGTTTCTTGATGTGGGATCTGCCCCCCCCCCCCATCCTTTTGGCCTTCTGAAAGAGCTAAAGAGCTGACTCTGTCAATTGGCCTGGGCCTTCAATGAAGGTACATCATTCTGGAGGTGATCAATGGACTAAGATAAGAGCCCACCTCATCCTTGTGTACATCTTGCCCCCTTCCTTCCCATCTTCATAGATTTTAAATTAATTTAATGTTACTATTTATTGTTTTAATGTTTTTGATTGTTTTTTAAATTGTTGTAAGCCACCTAGAGTTACCCTCAGGTGAGACAGATAGCATATAAATAGAATAAATTATATTCTATTTACGTACACACACATAATATAGTCTTAGAATATAATGTAAGGGAATGTCTGCAACAATGCCTACTCAGCCATTTTATTTAAAGGTTTAGAGAGAGAAGATGAAAAATGAGTACACTAATTCTGAACTCTAACTATCCTCATTGCACACAATATTTTGAGGGCAGACATATGAAAAGATATGAAGTGAAGGTGTTTTTCCATCCATTGTGCTTCCCATGTAGTTTAGAACCCTAGATAATCCGAAATGTAAGGTGTCTCTGATCCTGGATGTCACCATTAGTTTTAAACTCCTAATTTGGCACTTCAGTGATGGTTGAAGGAATTAAAATGCTCAAAGTTCAGCACATCTGAGAAAGACACTTAGATTGGGAATAATGACCTAAACTAGATATTTTTGGGGTGTTTATTAAATTCTAGGAAACAATTCTAGTGTAAACTGGAAGTAATTCTTTCCATAAATTGCTTCTTTAGCTTATTTTTCTCAAATGCACATACTTGATTATAATGAATACACAAAAGCAAAGACTGATTAAAACACCCCACATGTAGCACAAAAGTTGGCATATAGAAAAGACTGGATGATTTTCTAAATATGGAAATATATATGCAAAGTCCTCTAAGGGTGGCATGGACAAGAAATGCACAAGGGGGAAATCTGGACTAACTGTATACCTA